AAGTTCAGATTGCTGTCCAGAACGGTCACAATGGTGCACTGTGGGATAGCTCCCGGAGGCCAATACCATCAAATTGCATCTACACTAACCCTAATTCGAACTGGAAATGTCGATTTCAGTGCTACTCCCCTCATCGGGGAGGAGTACAGAAATTGATTTTAAGAGCCCTTTATGTCGACAAAAATGGCTTCGTTGTGTGGACGGGTGCAGGGTTAATTCGATTTAACGCTGCTAAATTTGACCTAAACTCATAGTGTAGACCAGGCCTAATAGACTCATCTTCTTCCAGAATTATTTTACTTGGGATCAAAAAAATCTTCCATCTACCCCAGCTCTGCCAGCCCCAAGCATCTGGGTCCCTCTAATCTTGCCTTCTCCTTTTTAAATCTCTTCTTCCAAGATTGGCATGCCTCACAGGTGTGGCAGCATGGGGATACTTGAGTTCAAAGTTGCTCCTTTCCCCCTTTTTCACTGTTGCGGGGTTTGTACATCCTGTCACAACTTGCTTCCTTACTGACGCTTTGTCAGTCACTAATTATGGATTTTTAGCATCCACATCAATGTTGAAGGGGCTGATCCTGCCCAGGTTTTTGACCTGTATAAACTCATGAAGTTAAAACTGCTGAAAGAGTCACCATTCTGATCCAGGGTCAGAAGGGACCATTGTGATCATTTTGTGCGACCTTTAGTATAACAGCCATAGAACTTCCCCAAAACTATTCCTAGGACATATCTTTTAGGAAAATGTCCAAGCTTGATTTAAAAATGGCTAGTGATGGAAAATCCACCATAACGCTTGGTTAATTGTTCCAATGGTTAATTATTCACTGTTAAAAATGTATGCCTTATTTCCAGTCTGAATTTGTCTAGCTTGAATGTCCAACCACTGGATTGTTATACCTTTTCTCTATTAGATTGAAGAGCCTATTACTAAATATTTGTTCCTCATGTAGATATTTAGACTGTAATCAAGTCACCCCTTAATCTTCTCTTTGTTAAGATACACTCAAGGAGCTCAATCTATTCAACATAAAGCATGTTTTCTAATCGTTTAATCATTCTTGTGGTTCTTCTCTGAAACCTCTCCAATTTATCAATATCCTTCTATGAACAATCAATACCTCTCAAACACCCCAAGCCTATACTGCCCAAAATCTCTCTGGGTATTCAACTAAGTGCATGACTGTTTACTGCAACGGAAGCAGGAGTGGCTAGCATTTCCATTAGCTCTGAAGAGCCAACACAGCTAACTTTCTACTTATGTGTATTCAGAGGTCTGAGTCAGAAGACCACTTTCCAAGATAAAATGCTACAGAACTTTGTTTGGTTTGTTTTTTTTCTGTTTGATTTTTTTCTGCAAATAATTAAAATGTAAGAATTTCCCCCCATACTGTAGATATCGCAACCATTTAAAATTCCTGATGGTGGCGCCCTATCCCACAAATTGAACAAGAGACTTTACAAGTACTTCCAAGTTTATTTCTCAGTTTTACTGTCCTTTCTAGTGTAACTTTGGATGCCAAACAAACACCATAAAAATGGAACATAATATTTAAAAAAATATCCAGCTGGTGTCCACAATGATATTAAGTAATTTCAGCGGGTACCAACTTGCATTTCTGTAATAGATTAAGTTCTATCTATTGTACAAAACAGTTTAGATTGGCTTTTGCAAGACCAAAAGGGTTTTTTTAAGTGATAAGAAGCCATAAAAGGTAAAATCTCCACTGATTTTAATGAGGTTTTTCTTGAGCTAAGAGTGCAGAATTGTATACTGTAAAGTACAAATTTATTTTCTGCTTTAGGGAAAGGAAAAACATTCTTTGTCCAAGACAGTGCTTACTTCACTGGAAAATACTATATGCATCAAGAACTATTTCAGATGGTCTGTGCAGAATTTTAAGATGTCAGCTTGGAGAAATTATAACTGCAGATTTTTTAAGCAAATTTTGGACAATTTTTGAGAGCCCCTAGAAACAAAAATATATCTACAGATAGTATAGATTTTTATTTTATTAAGCAATCTTATGTCAAGAATCCACAAATCAAAAATTACGGGCCTTTCAGAGTTCCAGATACCAAAAAAAAATAGTAGTTTTTGGCAGATTTCACCTTTCTTAGGGATCAAAGCATTTTAACCAAAAACACTATACATCAAGCAGCTTTTATAAGCCACACAAGTGTGTCAATTGTATGACATATGGTACGATTAGGAAGTTCTGTCTGTAACACTTCCAAAATGGTGGATGATGTGATTAAATTGAATCATGAAATTACTGTCACGGAAAGCATATGTGTATGTAGATCCACCGTGCATTCGCAGGGTTGTGTCATGTCTCTGCCAGGCCATAGACAAGGATGAGTGAACAGCACTTATTGTTCCTCTCTCCATTCAAAGTAAACACCTGGGGACAATGGGTTCACTCTAGATGGGAGAAGACACTTTCTCCTCTTGTCTGAAGGTGGGGGGAGGAGTAATGGAAAGTTACCTAGAGCAGAAGAAACGAAGCAGGTGACCCCAGCAGACTCTACAAAGGGACTCATAGGGAGGAACTGGGGAAGAGAGGCTTTTGCACCAGATTATGATGAGAGAGACTGCTGCAGTAGCAGGATAGGAAAGGGGGGGGAGGACTCTGCCTGCCTGGCTGATGGAACACAGAGGGTTCCCCCAAGGACTCCCAAGTGAAGGGTGAGCTGGTGAGGAACTTTATACTTAGGATGTTTTGTATAGCTTTGTGTGATCTTTAATTTCCTGTGCTTTACATGATTAAATACAACAGAGCATTAAGATGTTAGATGGGAAAAGTGCATGGGTGTTGATTGCTTCAGAACTACTGCATGCTTCAGGGAGCTAAACTGTAAGCCAGAAGTCTTACACTTTTGGGATAGTGTTCTGGTAGAGGGGTGTGTTTGTGTACTGGGGAATCTGAAGGGTTAGCACTGCGCCCAGTGGGGATATGCAGTTTGACAGCAGGCTCCAACACTCGGAGGATGGGGTTGCCAGAAAAAAGATCTGTGCAATGAGTATGTGCTGAGGGTCCCTGAGATTAGAGCAGTGCCTGGACTCTGTTCAGGCACCAGGAGCTTGAAACACCCAGAGCACAGAGGTTTGCATTTCCTTCATAGCAATCCTAGTGGGTTACCAGGAGGGGATGCTTACTAACATCTGTGATGTGTTAAAATTGAAATTTCATGTTCAATTAATCTAAAATGTATATTAGGTGACTTGTAGCACAGATAGCAAGACACAGGGTAATCCAAAGAGTTTACAATCTACATTTAGATACCACACATAAAATCATAGTGGAAAAAATGGGGAAAGGGTAGATGGGAGTTACAGCAAGACATAAAAGAATGAATCAGCTCAAACAATGGATCATCCCTCCCTCACAAAAACACACAGAAAAGGTCTTAGCAGGAAAGCATCACTGATTTGGAGTGCTAACTTTAGTCACTTCGAGAAGTGTGGAGCTGTAACTATGTAAGTGGGTCAGTGTAAAGTTACCTAGAACTGGCCAGGAAAGCCAAGATCAAAGAGAAAAGCACAGCTAAACCCAGGGGATCTCATGGAGTTTGGGTCTCCATGCTACTTCAGGCACTACTGCAGAACTGGAGGACTGCTGCTCATTTTGTCCTCTGTAGTGCATGTGCACTGCCTCTGGTTGATCACATGATGTACTGGGAACTTATTGCAACTTATGATGACATATTCAACAAGCTATACAGCTTTGAGAGTAAAGAGTCTTTGTGCATCTGCAGTACAACTCCTTCCTTCTCCGCCTGGGGAACTCATCCCAATGGCAACTGAAGGTGCAGGCAGCTCCCTCAGAAGGGGAACATAAGGTACAATTCACTTTCTCCTCTATGCCTCATAGAATCATAGAAATGTAGAACTGGAAGGGACCTTGATAAGTTATCTAGTCCAGCCACCTGCGCTTTTGTCCTTTAGTTATTGTTAATTCCTTGAATTGCCATGCCCCCAATTGCGCTAAGCAGTATGCACATCCATAGTAAGAATCAGTTCATGCCCCCAAAGAGCTCACAGCTTAAATAAACAGGACATACAGGAAGGAGAGAGGTAGCATTATCCCTATTTTACTGATGGCACAGAGAAATTCAGTGACTTGCCCAAAGTCACTCAGGCAGTCCATAGCAGAGTTGGGAATTGAACTTGAGACCCAGTCCAATGCCTTAACCACAAGCATATCCCTTCCTCTCCCTTTTCTATTCAGAATTAGTTTTGTTCCTTCACACATTATGTGCAAGGGAACACAGGGACCATATGTGATCACACTGATAATTATGCACATCAAAAAGTTATGTAAACATTATCCTATGGGCAAGTATTAGACCAAAAACACTCTCTCATCACCCAATGAAGACATTGGACACTTGTGGCCTATAAATGGGGTGGAGGGTATCTTCGCCACATCCTGGTTGCTGTGTTTATTTTATGTTAACAGAATAGTCTAACAAAAAACAGAAGATCCACCATGAGACCCTCTATCTTAGATTCCAGACTCTGTTTCTACGTCTTTTAGAGATGCAGTTAGAAGGAAGAGATAGTCCAAAGCAGAGAAATATGCTTTCCAGCCATCTGAGCTACAGTCCTTAGTTGTGGATGCCTGGCTAGTCCCAGGTTACATGGTTACTCAGTGGCAGGTTAATAGGATCCATCTGCCAAACAAACCCTCTTGTTTACCGACTAGTAGTGGTCCTTGATAAAGGCCTATAAGAAAGGGTAAGTGGGTTTCTTTCCCCAGGATCCAGCACAGGGTGGCAGGAGCTGTTGACACAAAAGGGTTCCTCCTCTGAATCCCAAAGGCTCAGTCAGTGTACCCATCATAGTACCAAGACACAGAACGCACACAGACACACATGGGTTAGGTAGAAGGTGAAGATGTAATTCATTATTGGTACTTCAAAGTGAAGCAGAAGCTTTGAAGCCAACCACACAGCAAATAACATCTCATATGCATTAAAAACAAAACAGCATTATATACCAGATTTAAAAATAGATTTATTTCACCGTAGTTAAACAATATTTAAATCGAATAGATTTGCATGTAATAAAATGTTTAACTCTAAAAAATTATTGTTTACTAAGACATGTACACCTTATTTTAAGTTTTCTACAGATACACACCCTATTATTTTAAAGGTTTACTCAAGGTTGCAAGACCCCAACTGGATGTACTTTTTTCTATCAATGTGTTTGCATAGTCTTTCATTGTGCATTTGTATTCAGCAAAAATAATTAAACCCCTTTTTTAGAAAATAATTAGTGCAGAGCACTTAGGAGTAACCTCAAAATAATGAGCTAGCACACATCTAACAAGTAAAACATTTTAGGAAAACAGATTTTATTTTCAAAATTTCCAGAGTGTATATCATGAGAAATGAAGCTTTCTAAAAAAAATATAACAAGAATATTTGACATCATCCTGTTGGATATTGTCTGAATTCAAATACTAAGGCACCCAGTTGAACAAACATTTATTAATTACAAGTTTGTTAGTTTTCCTATAATGAAAACTACTCTTTGCTTTTTTTCCCTACAAATATATTTAAGATTACAAAAAGTTATCACAATTTAAACTTTTAACCTAACTTGTTCAAAATAGATTGAGAAAACAGAAGTGCTTGGTTTTTTCTATTTGTTCCTACTCAAGAAACTATAGTATAAATAAATTTACATCAATCAAATCTTAAATGTTGTTTAGTAGCCCAAAACATTGATACATGTTATTCCTGCCAGTTTAAAGTAAACATTGACAGCTCCCTTTAATACACCCATTTACTATTTTGTTGTCCTAAAGTCTGTCTTCTTAAGGTGTACGGTTGCCTTTATAGGCAGTAACAATTATTCATGTTTTTTTGGTATTCCAGTTCGGCTTTTATGTCATCTTTCTTGTGTTCTACTGATAATATTGCAATTTGCTTAACTCAATGAATTACAAGACATTTCCTATATTTACAGTATTTTTGATTGGATATATAGAAAATTAAAAATAAAAGCGTTAATAACCCAATTTCTTTCCTATGATATCTAAAGGTACATTGTTGAAATATAAAATTTCCTGAGTTTGAATTAATGTTACACAAAATATCCACAAATATTTAAGATCATTTAAAGCTGTTTAAGAACTAAATCATGCTCAGATAATGCTGCACTTGCAACATGAAGCTGTCACACAGCTTATCTTTCAGTAGCTGTGTATATTCTTCTTGGTTTCTTTTAAAGTTCCTGGTTTTCTCATAACAGTTTTACATGTGAACAGCAGACACCATTTCAGCATCCTTTTGCAAAGTTGCAGAATTGTCCGGTGGGGGTTTATATAAGCAGAATGCAGTGATAATAAAAAGGATAGTGATGACTTTACAAGCTGCACCTTTATATGAAGAAAAGTGAACTTGTTTATTGTTGAAGATCAACTTTCAATACATATAGTTAATGTTAATTGCCAGAGTTTGTGAAAGCCTTACATTCAACTTGATGGCAACTCTCTGTCTGTCATGCCATAACTTTTAAACATCCCATTTGCTCAATTTCAAAATTATCTAGACATCTATGACTACAAAACTATTGATTTGGGGGGGGGAAATCAGACAACCAAAAGGGGGGAAATGGGGAGACATATGGAGACCCTGTCATCTGTTTAGCACAGCCCCAGCTTCAAACACCTCTGCAACTGTCTACAGATCGAACACCTGGCCCGCAGCACCCGTTAATTCCTATAACAATACCTGTCTCATCACGGTTCATCCTCCCAATAGAGTTTAACACTTGGATGACTTATCTCCCAAACAAATAATAATGGGGGATGAGTGGGATATAGAGCCTCTGACACAGAGGAATGTAAGGGGAAATTCAGGGATGTAATGATCTCTTGATGAGTGCAATAAGTTTGGCCTACAGAAACTATAAATGTGTGACTCCATAGTTCGTAAGAGTGCCACAAAGGTATAAAGCAAAGAACTAAAAATATTTACTTCTAAGTTAAAAGTCTTACTGTAAACTTGGCTCAAAACTATAGCTCCATACTATGGTACCCATTAATGGCAGAAAGCATGCTTATTCACAAAGCTAATCAAAAGTCCCCTAAAAACAGCAGGAGTCTTTCCATTGACTTCCAGGAGCCTTGGATCAGGTCCCTCATCTGCCCTTTGGTCCTCGTTTGCTGTGAGAACTTTAATACTCATTAGAATTCTGTTCTTCTCCTCCACTCCAGGCTGTTCAAGACAATAAAATAATCTTCCCTTCTTTCTTTAACTACAGTGCCCCTGATTATGTCCATTCATTGGCTTCCTGTCACCTGCTGCACTGTACTGAAACTCTTCATCCTCACTTAAGGTGTTCTAAATAATCTTCCTGAATACACATCCTTCTCTCAAGTACACTCTTCACAGTTCTTTTGACTTCCTGCTCACCATGTTTTCCAATTCTTAGCTTCATGTCCTCATTCATCAAGTGTCCTCTATATCCTCTCTCAATTCCCTCCTTAAAGGTGATGTGCAAAGGGAAAACTATTGCGTCTGTGCTCTTTTTCTTTCCTCACTCCTCCTGATGTACAATGTAATCCAGATCTCAATCCAAATCGTGAAGCAGAGAGCTTCAAATATTAGGAGAGTTATGGGTCACACAAAGTTGGCCAGCTATTCAGTAGAGAAACTTTTCTAACTTGTTTAGAGATCAAAACTAACTTTAACTGGCCCACTCTCCCCTGGTACCAGTACTGTCAAGTCAGGCTTTATGTTTCTCCACTTTTTAGAAAACCTGTTTTATACATAAAGCTAACTTTAGAAGCAATGGCATCTGATCAATTAGGGGAAAAAAATCTAATTTATATTAATCTTTGCAGACAACTTTTCTAACAAAAAAAAATCCACATATGACACATTGGAAAAAAGCACCTGGATAGGGAAATTATCCCAAAGGAATGAGGTTTGATCTGGAAAAGAGGACCAGCAACCTCAGTTTGTAGCACAAAAAAATAAAATTTCTTTAAAATACTGTTTCATGGTACCTCACACCAGTCAGGTTAAAAAATATAGATAGACTGAATAGGGATAAATGTCTAAGAAATTATGGCGAAAGAGATTTTATGCATCTATAGTGGGCATGTCCATTCATTAGAGAGTCCTGGGATACAATCCATAATCAAATATCAAACGTTGGATATTTATTACCAAATGATCTGTTAGTACTCTTCCTGGGGCTCTCTAGTGGGAATGGTCACACTAGAAGAAATGAAGAATTATTCTGCCATCTGCTAGTAGCTGGTTGGCTATTGGTATCATCTCATTGGAAAAGAAAAACAGTCGAACCATAGAGGAATGGCTTAAAGAAATGGGAGGTGGAAGTCATGGAAACACATACATTAACACACTAGTCATATACCCAGCAAAATAGACAGAGAACTGATAGATACTTAGATATTTGGTTACTTTTTATTCAATACTCAAAGTATATTCACCTGCCCCAAAAAAACCACATACCTTTTTATTTTTTACTTAACATTTGATAGATATGCCTGATCTAAATGTCATAATGATGGTAATACCTTGTTAAATAGAAAGATCTGATGTTTAAAGAGACATTATAAAGACAAGAGCTAGCTGTTGTAATTATTGTTTTGTTTCTGTTATTTATATGGCAAGGATTTGTAAACTTGATAAACTTCCTAAATAAAATCAATAGCTTAAAAAGATAATGCTTGAAAGGTATTTGTTAAAGCTGTTGGGGAGGGCTTGGTTGTTTTTTGGTTGTTTTGGGGGGTTGTTTTTGTTTTTTGTTTTGTTTAATTTTCAAACATTGGTAGCTAAACTTAAACACCTAAATAGGTTGCCTCATTGCCAAAGGGGATGGTCACCTGCAGCTATCATTGAAGTCAAAAGGTACCTGAGTACCTTTAAAATAATCAGATGAAAAGCTTATTAATTGAGAGGGGAAATTATTTTTAGTCAGAATCTTCGAAGGTCTATTTTTGTTCTTCTTTGGAACTCTCATTCAACTGCAATGCTAAACTAACACTGGGGAGAAAATATGTATTTGTTAAAAGTTTAATTATAACTACAGGGTGAGAAAATGCCAATATTTATCTGAGACCTCTAAAAATCTTCCAGCCAAACTAGGGAAGTCAGCAAGAGGAACTCCCGTCCTGCCTCAAAAAAACAGGGGAAAGGTGGAGGGCAACCACACAAATCCCACTATATTTCAGGCTCTTGTTCATCTATAAGGAAGCTATAAAGGGCACAAGCCACCTAAGAAAAAAAGAAATTTCAGGTTACCTTTAAAAACCTAACTCTTCAAACGATCCCTCCTTGTTTCTTTTAATTGTCAAGAGTCCCCACACACTTCCTACCAAACTGTGGTCCTGTGTCTTGCCTGGTTTTTGACTGTCATGTCTTATTTAAATAGTAGTTCCTTCAGAAGAGGGAACTTATCTTATCTATTTGCAAAGTGCTGAGTACTATGTAAACTTATTAAATAGTCTTATTAGGCTATTTTCTTACTCCTCAATTGTCATCTGGCAGTGAAATTCAAAATAGCTATGCCTTTTGCTATTAAAGATTTTAACACTCATTTGTGTTATGTACATATCAAATATGCAGTCACTTACTTATACCAATCAGCATGTAGGCCATTTTTGAGTTGTCGTAGACCCAGCAGGCTCCTTTAATGTCACATTTATTAACATCCCACAGAGTACAGGTACTGTCTATTGCCACACCAAACAAAATTGGTCCAGGAATAGTGCCTAGAAGAGATACAAGTGTACAAAGATAATTGAAAGAGTCTTATCTGAATCAACAGAATTCATAGAGTGAGAGGCCAGGTGGGTCAGGTTCATGATTGAAGCATCAAGTTTTGTGTAGCTAGATTATAGAACCAGACATTCAAATCTCATCAGCTTGTTTTAGCCCTTTATCCTTCTGAGATACAGAGAGGACCATGCAACTTGCTGTATGTTGTTGCAAAGAACACTTTAAAAACTAAGGTGGCATCTGCTCCATATGAATGCTAAAGATACTATAGTACTTTTTATAGGAACAGGAGTTTGCCCTAGTGTCCTGGATCAATATTTACTCTCTTTCCCATTGCAGTATTGTGTGCTCATTTGTTGTCACCTCCCACCCACGAGGTGGCTATATGTTAGGAATCCAATATGTACAATTTTTAAGCCCTTTCAGGTATTTCAGTCATTATGTAAATTAGTATTTCAATTATACAATCTATCCTGACAGTGCTCATGTAGAAACATAAGCTATCCCCTTACACATGATAGAAAAATCTATTCCAAAACCCCTGTCCACCTCTAAGTGACGACAAACAGTACAATATGTAACTGAACACTGTGTCATCACACATGTACTGTCACTCCAGTTCCAAACGACCTGGTGTACTGATCTTAAGAAATGCAGCTCAGTAAACAGTTACCTGGTGGCCAGGGGGAAAAAAGCTCTCAATTCCTTGGTGCTATTTTTACCAGCCGTCTCAGTTCTACAACATCTTTTCACTCCCCTTTTCTCTGAGAGGCACAGGTTTTTTGGGGGGAAAAAACTTCCTTGGCTAACAGTCTATTAGATGGTATTAAAGATAATAATAATTGTCTTTTGGGGGGATGGGGGGGAAGAAAAGTTAGCTGAGCTGGGCTGGAGCTGTTGTTGTGGCTGTTAAATTCTTATTTTGTCTTATTCTAGGTACCATTTCGCATTTAGCTAGAGCTGGTAGCAGTAGTGATGTTATCTGGGGGGTGTTTTGGAAGGGGCTGGTCTGGTCAGAACATCTCTTGAGCCCAGAATGATGAAGGCCCTGGATCCTAGGAGACATTGGGCACGGCAGCCTGATGATGAAGCTTGCTCGAGTAGTCAGTTTTTCTCCCTAAAATCTCTCTCTCTCTCTTTTTTTAAAAGACTCCTCATTATTTTATCCATCAAATAGAACTAGTTTCCAACACACCAATTTTGGTTCATTAATTCCCAGTCCCACATTGTCTTGTTTACCCGGCATGATTTTAACACAGTCCTTGAATTATATTACTAGGTCTTTTTGTTTGCACTAATTTATTTTTTCCATCTCCCTTTTGAAACTTTTCCCATCAACATTAATTTGAAAGACTGTGACACTTTATGAACTTTCACTTACTTTTTACAGCTGAGCTTATAATTAAAGTAAATTTGTAGGCTCAATTATTACAACAGGCCCTGTGTACAACATCGCATGATAAGAGGCTATGCCTCCATGTCTTGTGCAGGGTAGGGCTCCCCACATCTTATCTCTCCTACCTCCAGTGTGGATGAGGTAAATGGGTTGGGACATTAGCTTCCTGCCAGGGTCCCCATGCAAGCCTGGAGTGTAGGGGAGTAATGCACTCATACCCACCCTCAGCATTGTAGAACTTGAGGCCATTAGTTAACTTCCATACTGGAATGGCCTTGCTAGTACTTGGAGAGGTTCTTTGCTGTGTAATAGTTTTTAAAAGTTGCATCCTCCACATTTAACCATACTCTAGCATGTGTGTCTCACTGTTTCTGCATCCGCATCAATTACCCCCAAAAATAATTTAATAAAGAAAATAGAAAGTTAGCAAAAACTATTTAAAAGGGGTTTGGAAATGAATGACTAAATTATGCAGATTATCAGTCTGCCAGACTTCTAAAATGTACATTCGTACCCATTAGAAGTAAGGACACAAAACACTGCAGCAGGTTTCATATATTCATTACCATTTTATATGTAACGTCTAAAGTGCTGTCATTTTCATCAGTGTTAAATTATATAATAAAAATGTGGCTAAAGGAACTCAATATCATCAAGTGAAGTTGATGAACCACAGATTTTTGATTGGTGGAGTCTTAAAAGCCGTGACATTTTTCAAAGAATGGAGTTGCATTTTTTTGGGAGGAGGGGGGTTGCTTTTGTTAAGAGGATGCAAGTTTAAATATTCTTCTTCTGCAATTGGGATTTGTTTCCTTTGGCATACCCGTTTAGCCTCTTTGCACAACTATTTATAGAGAAGACAGCATTAATGCTAAAAACAAGTAAAGTACAACATTTGAATTCCTATAATGAATTCTAAGCTTTTTCGAGATTGAGTTTGGCCTAATCTTTCAGACAGAGAGACTGCAGCAAATTCATTCATACACATTTTCTTTAAAATTAATCAGTCTGGGTATTTGAAAAGGAAGTCTTCCAATTAGACATTTTATGCTGGGACAGGTATTTAAGCAAAAGATAATAAATGCCATACCTACTAATCGTAGAAACACTGACTGCACTCCCAGAGCAAATGAACGCTGTTTATCTGGCACACACCTGCAAACAAAATTGCAGTTTAAGGGCTTTATCAAATGTAAATTTAACTTAAACTGATGTTTTTCATCTTGTTTTTTTGGTAAGTTACACTTGGACTTTTGAAAAATGACATTATCTGTTAATACTTTGGTCTGTATATGGAGTCTAAGCAACCTAAAAAACTTTAAATGGAATTTACTTGACAGAAGAGACAAAAATCAACTTCCATAATATATCATTATGCATTATATACTATACTAGTTTTCTGCAATAAAGCACAGACAGCTTTGGCAGGAGAAATCATCATAGTCTTTTTCCCAATGTGTTTACACAAGATAATCAAAGTAAGGGATTCAGTTCAAGATCACGCACATTACTTATGTCTTGGTTAATCATTATGAAGTGGAGATGTGGTAGAGGACTATGCTTAAATACATAGTATAGGGTTTTTTTTTAATACTTTGGACCAAATGTATAATCAGCAGATATTGCACTTATTTGTAGATTTTGTCTTGCATCAGCATATTGCATTACATAAGGTAACACAGCAAGCATAATAAATAAACCATTTTGGTTGAACCTTACTGCTAACAGTCCAGCATCCCAGTAAAATCTATGCCACTGATAATTGAAAGGGATAGGCTTTGAGCAATCTCAAGTAATTTTTGAGAAGCATGATAACACAAACACAAAATATTGCTTTCCCATTATTCTCCCCAATCCAAACACAGCTGCCCTTTCTCTGCCTCCAGACTAACACAATCAAATTGTCAATGCAACTCCCATGTGTGGACTCACGCTGGAGCACCAAGAACAGAAGGTCAGTGCAATGAAGCATGATAATGCAGTACAGTGCAGTGTGTTAACCCACTATCTCAGCTTTACAATAGTACTTTTTCTGGTATATGAAGTTATTCTATAAATTAATGTGCTTTTCAAGTAACTTGTGAGCTTTAAATAGTAAAAATGTTAATGCACTGTTTCTAAATTTGGCCATGAGGCTTTACAAGTTGTAGAACAGGGATGCAATTATCATGCTCTGAATGTTATGACTTTTATTAACATCCATATTGTAGCTCTGCATGGGTGAACAGCTGCTTTAACAAGTTATTAATGAGTCTCATTTCAATGGGAAGGTAAGCCCCACACATTTCTAGGTCTACATATTAATTTGGAATCTAGTGAGTCTCTAGCAGAGTGTGTTCAGGATCAAAGACCATCAGAGTTTCAGAGACTGGCAAGACAACCAAGTTGTGGTTAACATGCACCTACCTTTCTTAGAATTTTATACTGCCACTCATCATCATAGAATCAGAGCAGCTTCCACATAAAAATCAATAGCAACAGCAAAGTCCTCAGAAGATTTCTAGGAATCTTTAGCACCTCTCCCTTTATGGGGTCAGGAGTCTGCTTGGAGTAGGGGAGGAAGAGTGTGTGTATGGCAGGGATTTGGGAACAAGAGGGATATTCAAATTGTGAGTGTCACTTATGGTGGAAGTCTTTCTCAAAAGAGGAAGGCTTTGAAATGTGGGCCCAATTTAGTTCAAAATCATACGCTCCATCACCTTATAGCTGGTGCTCATGAGGGAAATTGGCCTATAACTAGAAGAGTCATCTGCAGATTTTCCAGGCTTTAGGAGTGCTTCTCTCCACAAGCAGCAAATTTCACCAGTCTCCAGGATGTTGGTGAAATGTTGCGTCAGCCAATTCCATGCCACTGAACTCAGGAACTTGTGGTAGATGCCATCTTTTCCCTCTACTTTTCCCAGTTTCATGGCTGAAATGACCAGATCAATCTCCTTACTTGTGAATAGTCCAGACCATTGGGACAATGAAGCACATGTGAACAACACCTGCTAGAGTTGAGGACTTGTCTGCGATACTGTTTATCCACTGGCTGTTTTGATGTCCACAAAAGTTTAGCAGCAATGGCATTGACTTTCAACTGCGACTTAGTGACACGTGTGGGATTTGCAGCCCCCAGGTGTCTCAACAGATTCCAGGCATGTCTGCTTGAGCCACAGTTTCCGTCTTGCTACATCCAGTAATACCAGGAGAGATTTTCCAATTTCTGGGTCGCTACACTCATCATATTTGCAGAAGAGATCTTGGATCTCTGCAGTCCAGCAAGGAGTATATGAAAGTGTTTCTCAACCTTTTTGATATCAGGGACCAGCTTGCTGCCTTCCTAAACTATATCAGGGTAATCTAGGGGACCAGCACTGATCCAGGGACCAGTTGCTGAGAAACATTGGTGTACGATGACCTGTGTCCATGGGAGTTATTCTTCTTTGCAGGGGTGATTAGGTGCATAGTAAAATGGTCAAAAGTCTTCAGCATTGGGGGAATGTATCATCTTTAGAGATGAACATCAGGTCAGGGCAGGATCCTATGCTCCATCTTGCAGAGTGGAAAGTGACATACCATTTCACATCAAAAAGGTGGAGCATATCATTTGCCGATGCCCAATGTGTCAGTTCTTCGCCTGCAGTGTTTGCTGCATAGATCCTGTGCAGTTGGCAGAGCTGATGTATATATGTTAAGGACAGTAAGCTTACCAATGTACATAGAGATTCTAGTTGTTTCTTTGTACTCTGTAGGAGGTAGGACCAAATATTCATTGATCTCCTGCTTTATGTAGATTGCCAACCCATATTTTGGGTGGTAATTGCTGGCTATAAGTTTATACTGTTGATGTTATAGCAATGGGCTTTTTACTTCACTTGCAACATGGGTCTCCTGGAGGGTGAGGATGTTGGTGTTGCTCATCTTCAGCACTTTCTCCAGGAAGCCGCACATGGACCGTAAAAGGCCTTCAACATTCAATGGGCAGATCTCTCCCCCAGGTTCAATCTGCCTAGTACATTGGCCCTGAAGCGGTAGGTGTATTTTGTTCGTCTTTTGACTGGGAGGTTGACAATCAATGTTTGGTCACCAATTTGATGACATTAGTCATGGTTTCTCACTTAAAAGGGTGGACAGCATGAATATCATCATCTTCCACTCCATCTTATCAATGAAGTATTTTGGCAGCTCTTCGAAGTGGTTGATGCTTGGGTCTGGTGTCTGAGTTATGCAATCTGGGTTGATTAGCTGATTCAATATGAGAAATAGTTCTGCTGGCTCCAATTCTGCCCTGCTGATTGAAGAGGAGAAGGCTCATTTTGCCTCCTTTACGTCAGTGGTGAAGTTTGATACAGTTTGTGTGCTAGCAGAGGGCTTCAGAGTGTCTTTTGTACCACTGGTACTCTAACTTTCCACCTATGCACTTCACTGGCAGTAGTTAACCTTTGAAGCAGAGTATTCTTCTTGGTCAGTGTGGGAAGGAGGAGGAGAGGCCAAAGCATTGATGGTAAAGGACAACAGATGATCGTACTGTTGTACCAACTCATCAGCACCTTGGCTTTGTATTTAGGTTACTTGTTCTAAGGAGATTTGAAAACTTAGGGAGTTCAGGAGTCTTTGGGGGCAAATCAGTTTTGATTGCTCTTTATCCAGATGGGAAGAAAGGAAGGCAGGCAGGCTTTGATCTCTGCCTGGAAGAGGTCATGATCAACTCAGGAGAGTGGTATGTTGGTGATATCTCCAATTGCAGTCCTAGCTGGAAGACAGGATTCAACATACATACCGCATATGGCGACATATATAGGTCAGAGACTACCTGAAAGAATCTGATGGGTTCTGTATAGGTCATGAGATTAAGGTACTACCATATCATTGAGATTGTCCATGTGAAAGTTGAGATAATTGAAGACAAGTAATCTGGGGATTCCAATACCATCCTGGGCCACGTATCTGAGAGTTCATCAGGAAGTTGTTGAGGTTTTCACCTGGAGGTCTGTAAACCAATATAATTCCCAAATTCCTTTTGTCCTTTTGCCTCACAGACCACATGAATGCACTTTTTGTTTCTGGGTATGGAATGTCTTCAGTATCAGAGGCTGGAGGGTAACTGGATTGTTACTCCACTTTCGTTTATCTGGTGCATTCTGGATACTGTCTTGGCTTGTAACATCATACACATGAGAAGATTAGCTGTGTTAAGATAGGGTTGGGGGTGGCACTGAACCATGTCTCAGTGATGCAGGCAAGGCCAGGTGCTTCATCAAAAATGAGATTATGGATGGTGTAAGGATAAACAGACTTTAGCTTTCCGCTCTCTTATTGATAGAGTGTGATCTGCCCCTTTAAAAAGGAATTGTGTGCTACAAGTAGTGCCACCAAGTGGAAAGGAAACTATTTCTATTTTTATAAAGGAAAAAGTGTTGTGAAACAGTAGAGAATCTACAGATGACAGTAATCTCTTCATCTAATGTTCAAAAGGCTTAGCCTGCTTAAAACTGGTTATACACTACACGGTGATTATTAGAGTCTAGGGAGTAGCAGACAGGGGTGCAAAGCACTCCTTACACATTTTGATTATAGAGCGGATCCTGTATAAAAAGAATAAAAACTATTTAAAATCTTTATTTTGTAAGTTGTCAGAATAGTTACTTTCCTTGCCACTGAGAGCAACAACGTAGGTAAGGTAATATCTTTTATTGGATCAACTTCTTTGGTGGAAGGTACAACCTTTTGAGCTACACAGAGCTCTTCTTCAGGTCTGGGGAAGGAAATATTCCATGCTAAGTTTATACTCTGCTGTGGAGCCAGGAATATGTTCTTGAAAAGTATAAAAACCAAATACCTGAAGATGGCCACAGTAGTTGGAGTAACAGCCATAAAAGTGAAAACAACAGCAAAAAAGAAAAAGCCCAGGAATAGAGGCAAGAACGTGCATTGTGTTCGGCATTTCCCAGCCAGAGCCTCAAAAGGGACCTCTTCTGAGTCAGGTAATCTTTTTGGCATCCCAATACAGGAACAGTTTTGGTAAGTCTACAAGTAATGCACACAGCAAACAGTGTTATTTCAAAATATGTAAAATTGTAAATTATAGTAATTGATAGAGATTAAGTAGTAATCAGACATTCACTCATTGACACATACTTACTTATTTCAAGGACAGTGTATGACTTAGTGAACCCTTAATTTATTTTGTGATATTTTCAGCCACACTATCCTGGTTATTCCACCTAATTTTGACAATAACTATACTCACTTACATGCCTCCAACTGTAAAGACTAACTCTCTCCTCCACTTATTACTTTGCTTTCCTCCTGGGCTGGCAAGCTACCAAAAGAGGTCTCCTATTACCCAAACAATAGTTACTCCTGAACGCTGTTTGGGATATTTTGTATTTAGACATTAAACCTTTTTTGCCAGACCAATTATTAGATTAGATTAATTTAAATTTAAATTTCCCCTTTATTATTAATTAGGCATTACTTCATTTTGCACTAAACATAACCTCAGGGAGAAAATAAGTAACTGAGAACATGAAAAGTTGAATATTTTGCTGGTGTCCCCTCAATTCATCGGTGGATAGTTTCAAGCACTTTACAGAAAAAAGTAAAGCTAAGAATAAACAACCCAAAACAGGACAGTCCTGTACTCTCACAAATATACCCTCTTGTTACAAGTTAGCAATATGAAGTTATTCAAAATTCTGAAACTATGAATGCTTTTTTGTCTGGACACCTTTTATGTACTAGTCCTAATTTCTAAATAACCTTTTTCATCACAGGCTAATAAAATTAACAGTTGCCTTAACAAACCCTTATTCCTAAATTGCAATTGTCTGTCTATAACCTGGAAGGTTTCCCACATACACACACTTTATCCAGCAAGATTCTCAAAGAGCCACTTGTTCTGTCAGCATTGGCTGATTTAGTATTAATATTTTCAATAAAATTCCTGGTCAAACCTCTCCTCTTCCACTAATATAATTCCCAAAGGTAAATTAGAGAAGATGGATGGCCTTTTATAGTTAAGGCACTGCAGTGGGACTCAGGATATCTGGGTTCACTTCCCAGCTCTGCCAAAAACTTCCCCCCATTTGTATTTTCTATTTGGACTGTAAATCAAAAACTGTCTCTTATCATCTGTTTATATAGTGGCTAGGGCAATGGGGCACTAATCTCAGTTGGCACCTCCAGGCTGTATTTTAAAGATAATGATATCATCACATATGGCACTTGAAGGATAGCATTATTGCAGTGGCTACCTCTTCTCCAGTGTTGTGCCTGTTCAGCTTTTGTCCTGTTTCAACTTAATCTAAATATCTTGTCTTTGTTCAAGTACAATACTCACTGGATTACTTTCATATTTCTCAGTCTCGACTTCCATATTCTCCACTCATTAGCAACACAAAGGGTTAGAAACTGTAGAATGCTCTTTCTCATATAGCTTCCTATTCTTCAGAAGGATGTTGGTACATTCCAGTGAGGTCAATCATGTATTATACCTTATTTATATTGCACTATTATTGGGCATAGTGCATGACTTAAATGAAGGAAGGCAAAGCCTCTGAAAAACTTGCAATCTAAATACACGAAGTGTCTGTGTGTTGGGGGTTAGGGGGGATAGTGAGGAAAAGGTAAGATACAGAAGCAAACATACTGGGCATGTGTGTTTGGCACACACTATTTTAAGGCATTTCCCCTTCTTCCCTTTTCTATTTTGTGGGGAGAGGACGGTGGGGTGAGTGGTGTTTGTTTTAAATATGTTTATATTGCAAATAGAAGCTAAATTGAAGGATCTGAGGGAAGCAGGGGAATTTAGTGATGCCCTTGGCACAGAAATGGATGGAGCTACTAGGAGATACAGTTATGGCTTCCTGGCTCACAAGCTGTATTTGCTCCAGCATAAGTTACAGCAGCCTAGAGATGGAAGAAGTAGTTGACAGAATGTGAAAATTATAATAAAACACACTGTGGTAACTGCAAAGTATCAGAGGGGTAGCCATGTTAGTCTGGATCTGTAAAAAGCAACAGAGGGTCATGTGGCACCTTTAAGACTAAAGGTCTGACGAAGTGGGCATTCACCCACGAAAGCCTATGCTCTAATACATCTGTTAGTCTTAAAGGTGCCACAGGACCCTCTGTTGCTTGCGGTAACTGCATAACTCTAAAACACAGAAAACATATAATCTACAAAGAATTGTACACTCTTCTTTTGGAACAAAATGGAGAACAGATATAGAAAAGAAAAGAGAATTTGTACTTTATGAAGATGAGATTAGATCCAGCCTTGTCATCACCATGGTCTTCCAGCCTCAAGGCTTGTCACTTACTCTGGCCCAAAGAGCAGTTTGAATTAACCTTTCCAGCCAAACAAGTGCTTCATCTGTCATATAAACTTTAATCGAAACATAATGCTCTTTTCCCTCATGACAGTTCTTGTCTACTTGCTTTATACAAGAGTAAAAAATAATAACTTGAAGGCATACCTCCAGTAAAAACACTCACACAGCTTTCCAATATTAGCGAGAATGAGTATATCACTACTACAATATCAAATAAAAAGCTGGAAGGCTGCCCTACTACAAAAGATATCACTACATTAGCCAACCTTTCCACTACCACTAGAGCAGCTTTATCATTGCTAGCCCTACTGTAAGTAGGGTACTGGTGATCAGGGCTAGAGGACTGGCAGTATCACAATAGCATCCTTTGCCTATGCTAGCACACACCATTGTTATCTCCAGTGGAGTAGCACCATTTGCAGGAAGAGGTACAAGATTTCAACCTTCCTTCCTACACCCCTGCAAAAAACAAAACAATAAAAACAGATAAAGACAATGTGTCCCGGCACTGCCTAACTAAGAAGAATTAGATATATCCCACACCGCTACTTTAGTGATGCTATGACAAACTGGTTTGTTCATGTCTGACAGCACTCCAACTCAGGCATAATACCCTGAAAAGAGAATCAAATAACCTTGAACTGGTATCAAAGAGGTAATATGATTAACTTTCATGTGGGCTCAATTAACTCATTCACTTTGAAGTCAGCTAACTATACACATCAACCTTCCTGCTTTGGTAAGCACATTCTAATGTTTAATGAAGTAATGGGAGAATGAGATGTCATTAACAGTAAACTATCAGAGGTTTTTAGAATCAAGTGAACACATGGAGTGGTTTTTAGTTGTATTTTAATTTAATAGAGCCTCCAGATTTTTTTCCAAAGCCTTTCTACAAAAAAAAAAAAGGAGAGAGATTAATATTCCTTCAACAAGGAATAGCCACAACCTCACACAGATGCCTGTGTATAATGAGGTTATATGGTTGTGCAAATTCCTGTCTAATTTACCTTTTTACTCAGATTCTACATGGTCTCTGTGTGGTACCTAAAGCCATGAAAGAGGCCATTTTCTTGCCATCTTCTAGCTTACCTTGACTGGCTGCTATTCTGCCTGCCTTCTCCCACTGTGCACTTTTCAGAATTTTTCACAGCAGGGGAATCTCAGGCTTGGTCTACACTACCCCCCCTAATTCGAACTAAGGTACGCAACTTCAGCTACGTGAATAACGTAGCTGAAGTTCGAAGTACCTTATTTCGAATTAGTTGAAACTTACCTTGGTCCACACTCGGCAGGCAGGCTCCCCCGTCGACTCCGCGGTACTCCTCTCGGCGAGCTGGAGTACCGCAGTCGTCGGCGAGCACTTCCGGGTTCGACTTATCGCGTCCAGACTAGACGCGATAAGTCGAACCCGGAAGTGCTCGCCGACGACTGCGGTACTCCA